ACCCTTCTGGGTGTGCTAAAAAACAATTTAGGCTATCGTCAGCGGACTGCCATAAAATGACCGTTCCGGAACACCCAAACAGCTGATACTTGACTAAAGACAGAAATCCTTATTTGAACAGGGGAACAATTATGAAGCAAAGTTTAAAACATTGAAATTGCATTACCGTTTCCTTTGTAAACATGTGTAACTAGTAAAAGTATGACTAAGAAACATCGAATTGTTTATTATCCTTTCGCAATTGGTTGACTTTCCCTTCGCCATTGGTCATTCCCGTACCTGATTCGCTGATCGGATGAAAGCAAGTTCTCTTTTTTTGACACGCCCTTTACTACTGTGGGACTGACACACTGGATACATTAACAATGTACTACAGATCACCAATCTGTCAGACAGCAAAACCACAAAACTAAACTACCGCTTAAAGGATTACAGTGTTGCTTATCCATGGGAGTTCAAAATGAAGATACGTTATGATACCACATGAACTTACTCCCTCCCCATTTCGGAAATAACCATGCATGGCTTGCAGAATCAATAAAACAGCAGACCCTACGCATCAAAATACACCGTAGTCTAGTCAAACAATATATTGATCCTGAAGCTAAAATCCATAAACAAAGACTACAAACCGATGAGTAAAGACTAAGAACGAAGACTGAAGCTAAAGAGAACCATAAGCGGGAGCTAAATGACCAAGTATAATCGTGTAGTTCACTATACGTTAGATTGATGAGAATTTGAACCTCGCAGCTCCTGCAATCGGAAAACTTTGTTTCACTTTATAGGGGACTGATTGCACCTAACGGATTCTTTTGAAGTCTCAATCATAAAGCAACCGATATGACTTGGATTTTCTGAAAACGTTGGACTAACTGAAGAGTCTCAAAAAGAAACCACTCTGAAGTGAATTTGATTCCTACGATAGACACATCACCAGTAAAATCATTTTACCCGTGATCAAGTTGCTTCAGTTTGGTTTAGCACGATGTGACTACGTGGTGTGCGGTATCTTGCATGCTAAAGGGATTTCGTCCCATAATGCGTGAATTTCTCGTTTGCAGAATAACTATGGTTACAGTCCGAGTTGAAGGGTATTTCAATTAACACTAGAAAAATAAGAAGCAATAAAAGAGCAGAACGACGAGGTGTCCATACAAACTAATTCTCTTATAACCCCAGAAAGTAACCATTCTATGAGCATTCTATGGATGTTACCATACAGACCAGTAAAAGTATGGAATAAGGAAACCGCAGACGGAGATAACCCTTCAGAATATGACACTGTTGGCATGAATTCACCGCACGATGATCTATGTGATGATGAAAGAGGGAGAGCAGGAGTGCAATTTTGAAACAGAACTCTGAATTACTTACATCGTTGTTGGTGAAGAAATAATTTGAAAGCTTTTACAAATCTTTGTTCTCTGTCAACTTTTCGGCAATTGAATTTACGGGGCAACAATTCATCCCGTTTATACAGTGTCAATGCATAACGTAAGAACAATTGGACTCAATGGTGATCTCTGCTCGCCCCCCCCCCCCACAAAGGGTTGTCACTTTACCTCCCCGAACCTCGCCTCACATAAATTCTTCATGATGATGATTAGACATATGCAACTCATAAGTCTAAATCCGTTTTTAACAAATCGGGGTGACGAGTTACGTTTTGGAGTCGTCAAAACACCGTGTACGTAATTTGACTAGTCCATTTACCCGGGGAACAGGGCATCACGATTGACGCACTAAATGAGCACACAACAGGAATTCAAGATGAGACATCTCTTCCGTTTTCTCTCCAATATGTTCCGCTTCGTCTGGGTTCCTCAGTCAGAATCATGCTCTGGTGTTCATGGCAATCGCATAAATTTGTTGCCAACTAAATGAAGGAAAATCTTTCTGGCTAAAATTAGCGAACGTTTACTCTAAGAAGCACATTCATTCAATCTATGCAGTTCTAAGGTAATCTATTTTTCGACACCACCAGTGTCGCTCTGCGAGGAGCACAATAAACAGAATACATACAACGCATATCGTGTACGACATCCACGTCACATTTATGATAAGTGGAAAGAAAGTTTTCACAGCAGGTTATGCCGCAGCTGGTTCTGGTGTGAATATCCAGCTACAATCAGTTTTAGTGATATTTTACGGAGTTCTTTTATTCATTGAATAAATTTATCTGCGCATTCGACAATGAAATCTTCATTTCCCAGGCTCAGAAGCATTAGCCGCATAGACTCGTATCACACGACAACAATAAAATCGGAATGAATTCAGATGATTGCANNNNAACTACCTGGTGCCCTGGTTGAGCTCACATGCTCCCTGAGCTGTCTTTCATTTCAAACGTTATCCAGGTTACCTTTGTCACCACCGGCAAACCTAGCATGGCCCTGAGGTTATCTGGTTACTCCTGCAAATACACCTGTTCCTATCAAGCTTTAGTCAAAACCCGCAGCCCCTTAGCCTCGACCCGTTTTCCTTTAGCTAAAACTCGTTATGTTGTAGTCTTGAACCACAATCCTTTAGCCTTGACTCGTAGTCCTTGAGCCTCGACGCACAAATTTCACTCATACCGTTGTAGGTGATTAAGATAAAAAATTATTGGAGTATTCTGAGGTCAACAGCTGTTGAAACTTGTTATTTTCCTCAGATGTTGATGTTGCAATGATTGGTTAAGAAATGAGGGTGTGTGGTGATCGTATGCTGGGAAGTTGACCGTCGTAACGGTGGCAAATGCCACATCAGATAATGGTTTGAGAAGTTTTAAACGACATGTCTGTACCGTCAAATCATTTGGCACATCTCGTATGGCTTCGATGTTTTCATTGAACTAACTTTAATGTGCTAAATAATAAGCGAATTAAAGAATTAAAATCGCTCACTTGTTTGAATTTACTAAAGACCTATTCCAACGGGTTAATAAAGAGACTGTATGGGAGAAGAAATCGCAATTGGTGGTTGGCATACAGCTGTGCATCCAAAGCTCTCCGATGAACGGAAGGACTGTCAAAAATAAAAACAAGCGGTTGCTCAGTAGCGATTAAAGTGGAGCAGCTTGATAGAAGCACAAGAAATCTTTGTCTAGCATTCATATTTCAAGATACCCGCCACAAATGAATACGCTGTTTTATTTAATTTGGTATTCTACTGGATGAGAGGCTTTGAACGGCTCAAAAGTTCACTTTGGACCGTCCTTTCTAAGACAATACCATATGTTGTGGTTGGTGTTGTCAATATACAGCCTCAATGTTGGGCTATCCGATAGCTGTAACAAATCGGCAAATTCCACTCGTTTTGCTTTGACAGTTTCCGAGTTCGGTTCTGCGGCCTGGATGGTCAGCTAATTCACCGAATAGTGATGTCCGCCCAGCGATCACTCAATCAAAGTCTTGCTGATAGATGTGCCCGGGATGTCCTTCTCCACTCTGCCGTTTTACCACCTCAATGAGGCTTGGAGGATTTTAATCGACAACATCACATATTTTGCGAACTCACCTTTGAATATTGCCTCATAAGAATTGGGTTATAGTGCTACTTCCCGATTCGTGGCTGCAATAGCGCAGGTTTTGATCTTAATGCCGAGGTGTTTTGTAACTTCCAAATCACCACCTCTATGTATCTATCCAATAACTGTCCGTCGGTCTTCTGCACTGGTGAAGCGATAGAACCTTTCCTGTTCACCCAATTTACCGTTCTCTATACCACAGATGCGTATCATGGCCGGTAAGGTACAACATATATTACTACCGCTATCTTGATGTGTTTTTATAACCCCATTACCGACAAACTGAATGCCGAATCACAGTACTAAAAAGAAAATGTAAAATGCGCTACTACTGTGAGTAAAAATATCAAATGTAACACGAAGAGTATAGTGTTTTGCATTCACAAGCCCTGAAATAAATCAAAGTTGGTACCGGGAAAATGCCAAGCTTACCGTTCCGTATCTCCACTTAAACTGAATTTCATTCATGAAAGGTGGATACATTAACAGACCAAGGATAATAAACGTCGTTCACAAAGTACAACCTCATAACTATCATCAGTTTATTCAGGCTGTCCGAAAGTATTCCATGAATTCACAGCACACACGAAAGAGTTTTATTGGTTTTTGAGAGTTGGAACGTGAGATCTCAGTTCTGAACTATTTGGACTTTTAAAACTGTCACCCTTGTTTTGACGATTTCGTTTTTGGGCTTCGGAACTTCGTCGAGGATATAAATGAATAAAAATTGTCCTGGGTTGAAAAGGCATAAAGTATTCACTTGCGATTCCATCTTCAAAATTTAGTTTCATCCTCTCAATACCCAGGTGATTTAACGTGATTACTTGTGTTTGCTTTGCCGGATTTGAGGAAAATAAAGTGCGGTAAGGCCAAAGAAGGGAATAGGAGGAACCTTGCGTAGCTGTCAGAAAGTTTAGAAGCAATGTGATCTTTAAAATTCGGTGTTCACGAAGAACAGTACAAGAAAAAAAGCTAGTTCACACACCGCTGTTACCCTGTCCGGTACTCCGAATTGGTTGAGCCCTCCTTCGAAGATCACCAGCCTCGACCCATTATCATCTACCACAATTTCAATAGTAATGTATCTCCATTTATCCACTGTCCCTTCTCGATTAAATCACGTGCCACGCATTTCATATAGCTTTTACTGTATATTACGTAAGAACATGTCGCGCTATCTCCTCAGCTAGCAACTTCCATCAAAATTTTGATCAGTCCATCTCTCTACGTTTTTTTCACTTGAGTTTTTCCTGTCACCTCATCCACGAGTCCAGCATTGTACACCTTCGAGTTTGTCACATTCGTTTACTTCACTTGCTCGACTTTATTATTGCTATGAGCTGGGCCGTAAACGGTCAATCAGATATCGGTACTATGATCAACTTATCTATGTAACCGCCTGAGTTGATATGTTGTAACCATGTGCCGTATTGACTATTGGAATATTTTGTATGATGTGCAATACATGATAAACTACCGATTACTCCCCATGATCGTTCTAAACGGATCCATCGCCTCCCTTTCAAACACCGATTATCACCGACAAACTCCGTTCCAGATCCACATTGATGCGCACAGTGATTTAGACTATCCAGAGCTGGTACCGAATTTCCCACTTGGTCGAATTCCCCAAAACGATCTGGAATTGTCCACTATGATGCAAGCTAACGATCAGTTCATTCAAGTGAGCACAGTTGCCTCTCTTTGACGGTGTAACGTTCTTTCGCCTTATATCTTTTTTACCGTTCATCAACACCTCAAAAATTGTATTTTTAATGCGTTGCGTTTTTGGGTTTTAAACTTTGGACAACCAATTCTACCATGTTTCTTTCAAATTATGATCAAACGATATTGTAAGACTACTGCGAGATCTCGTCCCTTTCTAGTTCCCATTTGAATTTCATTCCGTCACATCTCCTTCCAAATTATCATACCACCTACTGGTTGAGCAAAAAAAACAGAATTCAAGATGTTCAGATGTTGGGCGAAGTGACGAAGTTAGTCAAATTACCTGACGAAACTGGTCATATGCTTCTGGGAAATTTTGTCCAGTCATTCATCTACTACTCAATAATTGAATCTTAGTTGTGATATGGACAACGACAAATGCCTTTTGATACTTAAAACGCTGAACCTTTCATTATATTGTGGTTGTTTTGTTTTAAGTTTTGCTGAACGACTGAATGGTTAACCAAATAAGATAAAACATTATAGGCCTTCAATCGATTTCGGTTATTGGGTCAACAGTGAGATTCATTTGACTACCGTGTGTTCTTTTGGTAATTGTTAGATATATTACTAGCCACCTTTCGGACATATGGCTTCATTTATTACC